GTTTTAATCAAATGGTGGAATTGAAAGAGAGAGAGAGAGAGAGAGAGAGAGGGAGAGATTTATAGATATCGAGGGAGTTTGAATTGAAGGAAAGGTTGTGAATGGGGTATAAATAGAGAACAACCCAGAGACGTACACACAGCGACGCCGGCTTTTGAAGGGTGGTTCGGGTGCAGCGGGCGTTGTGTTCTAGTTGCCAACGCGTTAAATTCAAGGCTGTAATTTGTGTTGAAAGTCAAGTTTTGAGCCTGGTTGTGCTTGGCATTTGGGGTTTTCTTTCTTATTCAATTGGAACAAGTTTGTGGTGTGATTGATGCATTTTTGTTGTTGACGCCTAACAAAGCCGCGTACTTGGTTTCATTTGAAGGTTTCCACATTGAAGAAGCTTCCACGGTGTGGGATACGGTTATTATTATAATCTTAATTTCAGGCCAAACCATACCTTCTCCCAAAAATAATTGATTATTTACAATGGATGAGTGAGGTCATATCTTCATCTAAGCTCAATCATCATTCGTTCTCATACATTTCTATGAAACATTATAACTTTGAGTTGAGTCGGTTAAATAATAATAATAACAATAAAGCTACTAGGCTATCAATACATTAGAAAAATGATTAACATTAAAAAGACTATGTGGGTTGATTAATACCCCACATTTAACAATTAATGTCAATTAGGGAAAGGGTTAAGGTGATGTGTAAGTTTAGCATTTACCGAGGGGTTAAGTTGCAAGTAGTTTTGTAATTTAAAACACGAAATTTGGCAAGTTGGAAAGGAAATGTATTTATTTTTCTTTAAATGTTATAATCTCAATAAATGTGAATAAATTGTGTGAGAGGTTGGGTTTGACTTCCATTTTAATTTTAATTTTGTGGTATTTAATATTTATTCCTTTTCAATGGAAAATGAAAACTTGTTTGTTCTCTTGCTTTCTTTTTCCTTCCATAAATATTTTAACCTTTTCTTTACCCTACAAAAACTAGACCTTCTTAAACAAAAATACTAAACACACATTTTTTTTCAATTATTTGACTTTCAATGTAATTGAAATTTGACGCTAATTCCTTTTCTTCGGGCTTAAATCTAAATGGATGTGATTTACATGCACCAACCTTCTCAAGCAACATATTTACAATCAAATGTTAGCTGTGAATACTCCAATTACAAATGAGGAAAAACCACAGCTAAACGGTTGAGGAATCTATGAACTCGAGATAGAATGAATTAAAATTGAATTCAATTCATCACTTTTCCTTTGTATTTCCAAAATTTTACACCCATAATGCTGGATCATGAAAAGGATGCATTAATTTTTTTCCATATTATTTAAACATGAGGTAATTTACCCATAATTTTATATACATTCATATAACTTGTGGAAGAATGCAACAGTTTGCTAAATAAGGCTGAACCAACCTTCACATTTAAAATTGGATGTTCTCTCTTAGATGGGCAGCCGGTAATGACGATTTGGGGTTTGACCTGTTATACAATTCCACATGGGTTTTAAACAAGATGAGAATAAGTGTGCTTTTCAAACATACGAAATATGAAAAATTTTGGTATTATATGCTTTCTATATCATTTTACAAAGATTCATTCAGACGTCACTTCCTCCGCATCTACAATTTCATATCAATAATGACTCGGTCAATATTCAAATTGATCATTCCTGTTCCAAAGTCTATATTGTCATTCACTCCGGGAAATATCAAAGAAATGTCCTAACATATGTACTGCATTTATACAATTTCACCAGAACGCTCTGTAGGAAATTTACATCTCATATTTCAAACTATAGAATGCAAGGCATGACCAAATTACTCTGGCAGATGCAAATCATTGCATTAGTATTTCCAGCATGGGGAAAGGAATGTCTCGAGGATGGAACTAAATACTACAGATGAATGGTAATTGAATCTTACCACCCAAATTTCTGGAAGTGAAAATGTAGTTATTTCTTAAGTTAAGAGTAAGTTTCTCGCCGGCTTCAGTCGTCCCTAGTCAAGTGGCAGAGCTATGTTGATCACAGATTTGAGGAACTACAATTTTTTGGCTGCAATATCAAAGAGTAAAGATTTAACTATGCATAATTTAAATATCGCCTATAATGTGCACGAGTAAAGGGTTGCATATGTTTTTACCTGGGCTTAAAATTCTTATGCATTTTGTCGTGGACTTCACTGCAGTCAAAGAATCCATGCCTGCATTAGTAAAATTTGCCCATCAACTTATGCATTGTTTAATGGAACTTCAAGAGGTGTAGAAGATGAACTACATTACCTTCTGTATTTGTATTTTTTCCAGATAAAATTTGTGTCACAGTTGATGAATATTCTGACATCATTTGATCGGTCCCCACGTTACAGTCCATGGACTCATGAGATGACCTGGAAAAAGAAAAACAAGCAACAAATTATCAGATAAAGCGGTGGAGGAATAGTTCGTGGGAATTGCAGTGTGATGAGCAGAAGATTACCCAGAAAGAGTGTCTATTGAAGCACCAAAAGTTGGGACGGATGAACAACCAACTACTTCACAATCCATATCCAAATCAGCCAACATTTCAGTAAAAGAGAAGTCTCCTCCAAAAACATCAAGAGAAGGCAATTCAATGTCAAAAATGTCTAATTGCTTTTCGGACTCGGATGCATAAATATCATTTTCAGTCTCCTTGTCAGAGCTCATGGGAACATCTGAGACATCAAAATCTAGACGTCCCTTCACGTGTTCTCTCTTTCCCTGCCTTTTAGCGTTTGTCTTGACAGGGGAAGGAGATAAAATGCTGTGGTTCCTCTCTACAGAATAGTAAGCAACTTGCTTGTAAGGACTGATTGTCATTCTTTTTGATGAAATTACAGTGCAGCAAGTAGGACTAACGTCTTGCGGAGTATTGTTGTTACTGCAATCAGCAGCAGAGGAAATCTCTTGTGGAGAGGTAGACTTGTCGCTTTCACAAGAATTTGCACGGGGGGGAGTCTTTGGACCGGAAGAGTTGATTGGAATAGAGAATGAAGGTTGGTTGAACAAACATTTTACAACACTCGATCCTTGAACCACAGATACATTGGGGGTGCATCTAGGAGATGATGAATGAGTTTCATTAGAATGCTGGACAGTTGATTGAACATTGCCAGCTACAGTTGATTGGGAAAGTGCATCAGTATCTGTAATGTACATGAACTATAGTAGATATGATTGAAAATAGACGCGCCTCAATCATATTCACAAACAATTTGTAAAGAAAGATTACCTTTGCTAGCTGACTTCCTGGAAGATACTTTATTTCGAGCTCTCTTAGAAGCTGGAGGAACAACAATGGAAGCTTTGGAGCTTTTCCTCTTATTTGCTTCCATGTCATTATTAACGGGTGTTACGAAACTTTGAGACCCGCCATTGGTGTTCCGAGGTGTGACCTCTGGACGAATAGGTTGTGTAAGGTTCATGGGACAGCCTGAGAGAAGTAGGTCTCATTAACATCAACAAAAATGTGTCCAACTCACAATAGCTCAATTAAAGATTGGTTGAATTTTTTTTTAAAATAAGCAGGGGAAAATTAGTATAGAACAGTCTGAGACTCTTCTCCTGTGTATATATTTCACCAGAAGTTGGAAACCCCCACTGACGACTAAAAATACTGCTTAGCAACTCAATTATGACTAGGTTAGATTGTAAAGACCCCACTCCCAAAAGTCTCCAAGAAAAGCAAAGAATAACAGGCAGTATAACCCACTCCCAAATGTAATGTATAGGACTGAATGCAGGATTTCACTCCCAATGAGTTCAGAGATCATTTCTTTTCATCTCTCCAGTACTATTGCAATTGAGTATGGAAAAAAGGGGAACTACCTGTTAATCCCTATATCTTCAACCTTTAGATCAAACCCTGATAAATTTTAATGGATTTTTAAGTTTTTCAGAAAGCACATATGTTCCATTTTACTCAGAAAGTTCTAGGACGGTACCTGCGGGAGATTCAGATGGATCAGATTGACCAACAGCTGCAACTTTATTTGGAGCAGCTGAAATTGAAGGCGTTGAAGACCTTCCACTGGCATTATAAGCACCCAGAACAGTCTGCATACCCTGTAGAAGATTGTGGACGCGAATCTTCTCTTGTTCCAAATAGCTTCTTTCTTGATCCAAAATCACCTTTTGTTCTTTCAAACTGATGTATTCATCTAACATAGCCTCTAAGCTGAGCAAGCTCTTCGGAGCCTGAAAGCCAAAAGAATTATTAGAACAACAACAAAAAAACAAAAAAAAAAAACCCTCAAATCTCCAAACAAGCAGAAACATGTACCTCTTGTATGGGAGATTTTGCAATAAGCGATGAAGCTTCAACTCTAAAAACAGAGCGCGTTTCAGCGTAATTGTTATCAGAAAGATATTTATCAACAATGAAGGCGACCTGAATAGGGGTTACGTTACCAATCCCGTTGCCGGCGGCCTCAGCTTTTCTAGCCTTGGTCTGCTTCCCCATTCTCATCAAATGAAGAAGAAGAAACAGAAGAAAGAAGGTGGAGGTTTCAGATGCAGATTCGAGAAGCGGAGAAGGAAAGGGAGGAGCCGCGATTGGAATCGGAGGGGGAAATAAATTGGAAGATTTACTACATAAGATCGAAAGCGGCGGGAAGAAGACAGGATTTTTAAGGGAAAATGGAAAACGCGGGAACTTTTTAAATTTTTGCGGGTAATGTGTATGGGCGGTTTTTTGGACCCGCCTTCAAGTCCATTCCCGCCACCGCTGTTTCATTCCATCCGCCGCCGTCAAATTTTAATACAACATTTTAAAACATATTATATTTAACAAAATATAAGGAGCGTATGAGACGAAATCTTATATATGGTAAGTATATTAATTATAGGCCAATATAAATATAGTTAGATAAGAAAATATGAATTGAAAATATAAAATTAGATATGAAGATATAATATTAAATGAGGCTAAAACATGACGCGACACTTTCTTTTGAGGCCCAGCAGCGGCCCATAGACAGCACTGGAATTAGAATAATCCAATGGCGGGAACTCAAAGGCTGAGAAATTCATCACAGGCTCTCGTAGCCGCCAAGAAAAAGCCACCAATATCGGCATTCCATTGGCCAATTGAATTGTTCATGGCGCCGGACGGAGTACCAGGTAGCGGCTCCTTCGTCAGTGTTGCCATTTTTCCGCATCTGGAAGCTCATCTTCTATGCGGAGAGCCAAGACAGAGGCAGAGACAAGCGAATAGAGGGCGAACCAGTCTCTGAACCGATCGATGAGGGAGATGAGAGATGTTTGAAGGAACAATCGTTTTATCGGCTCAGAAGCTCGAAGTCTGTCTGAGGTCAGAAAGTTATTGTGAAATTATGTGATTGAGTTCTGTGATATCGTATATGCCTTCTTCCACTGATGGCTATTTATTTTGGATTCACTAGAAGCACCTTTTTTAGTTTTGGCCACTCACTTAATCGATGTCTGGAATGTACTTATAGCTTGATTCACTTTCAATATGAGGCAAATACACGCTACGTTTTGCTTGTAACTGAAGATTAGGAACCGTGTCAATTCGATTGGGCATAAAGTGCAGAAGAAATTTGCATAAAGGAGATGGATAAATAATTGAAAAGAAAGAAGGTTTATTAGAAAATTAGAAAGATAGACACTTTTGAAAGAGAAGGCTCTCACACACTCTCTAATCCTCTATTACTTGTTTTTTAAGCGACGCTGTATATTACGTATACCGTGGGAAATTATGTTATCAGACGTTTAAGGTTTTTGCTTCCTACACAAATTAGTTTGTCACGATGAACAATAGGTTGATGCTTTATTATAAGATCAAAGGATTAAGTGAAGATATGGTCCGGGAGTTCAGGCATGCAGGCAGGAGTAAGCTGTAAAATTTCAGGTGAAGGTCAGAAAATAATGCATGGTTGGAAGGGAGTCCGAGGTTGGCTGAATAAGGGAATGATTATGTGTTTATAAGTAAGGAATATTATCTCCAAGTATGAGATCTTTTAGGGAAATAAAAAACAAAGCCATGAATAAACTTTGTTAAAGTAGACAATATCATACTATTGTGGAGGTTTGTGATTCCTAACATGATATAAGAGTCATGCCCTTAACTTAGTCATGTCAATAGAATCCTCAAATATCGAACAAATAAATTGGGACCCTCGAAGATGTAGTCAAAAGTGACTCAAAGTGTCGAACATAGGGTGTACTATATTCCAGGACTCTAGAGAAAGAAGTCGAACCTTAATTAAGAGGAGGCGGTTCGAGGGCTCCATAGACCTCAGGGGAGTCTCTATGGTGTACTTTGTTTGAGGGGAGAATTGTTGAAGATTGAAAATGATCTTGAGTTTATAAGTATGGAATACTATCTCCATTGATATGAGATCTTTTAGGAAAATTAAAAGCAAAGCGATGAGAGTTTATGTTTAAAGTGGATAATATTACACTATTGTGGAAATTCGTGATTCCTAACTATTACTTTCATGTTACTCTTAGGCACGGGGAGAAGAATAAGGTTATGGGTTTTGTGTTGTTCTCAAAGTAGTATTGCAGTTACCTATTGAGAATTATTAAGAGGAATAGTCACATTGGTTAATTAAGATGAAGATCATGAGTTTATAAGTAAAGAACACTCTCTATTGGTATGAAGTCTTTTGGGGAAACCACAAGTAAATTCATGAGAACTTATGCTCAAAGTGGACAATATCATACTCTTATGGAGAGTCGTAGTTCTAAACATGGTATCATAACCTTAGACATGCCAATAGAATCCTCAAGTGTCGAAAAAAATAAGTTGTGAGCCTCAAAGGTGTAGTCAAAGGTGACTCAAGTGTCAAACTGAGGAAGTACTTTGTTTGAGGCTTCTAGAGATGGAGTGTCGATCCTTGATTAAGGGGAGGCTATTTAGGAGTTCTAAAGAAGAAAGGTCTCAAGGGAGACTTTATGATGTATTTTGTTCTAGGGGAGAATTGTTGAGAATTATTAAGAGGAGTAATCTCACACTGGATAATTGAGAGGAAGATCATGAATTTATAAATTAGGAACATTATCTCTTGGTATGAGGCTTTTTGGGAAACCAAAAGCAAACCGTGAGCACTTATGCTCAAAGTAGACAATATCATTTCATTGGGGAGAGTCGTGGTTTCTAACCTCACCTTCTTACTTTCTTCCTTGGAGTTGTCAGTGTGATAAAGTATTGCTTGTGGCTAAAGTATGAATGTCCTGTTTGCAGGTTGCAGGTGTAGAAATAAAAGGTTAAACCTTGTTGATGCTGGAAGGATTTTCTGGAGCTTTAAGCATGGATATCTCCCTCTCTAACCGCATCTCCACACTGCTATTAATCTAAATCCGGTGTGCTACCTTTATTTTCCTTGGTTATCTTTTGAGCCTGCAATTGGTGTTCCTTGCATGCCTTTCCTTTTAATATCACAAAAACCTTAACAAACCCAAGCCAGTTGCATGAGCCTGCCACTGTGTATAAGGTTTTCATGGACCTACATAAAAAAGAAAAAAGTATACGATCATCTAGCCAGGTCTCGAAAGACTAAAATGTAACCAATTTGAACTAGATTATATGTATACTTCGCTTGTGACCTTAGAATCTGAGTGTGAAGAATATGGCATTACCCTGATTCCACCAATTGATTTCATATGTGAAGAGGCTCCAAATTCCTATGAAGTCAAGACCAGCCGCGCTTATTTGTATGGTATATCGAAAGAATTCGCAAATGGATATATATCTCCAAATCCGTCGACCACAAAAATGCAGTAAATGGATGGGGAAAGGTTAGTAGTCTCTTCAATCAATTTTTGTTCACATGTAAATGTATTCATCTGTCTTATTTTCTAGATTTGTGACATTAAAAAGGGTGGTTTCTGTTAGCCAAAGAACTTTATTTCAATACCTAAATATTTTCCCTGGGTGTTTTGAGTGTTGCTGGCCGTGCTTTACCGTCTCGAATAAGGTCCCGTGAGTGGGGACTTCAGTTCTTAGTTGCAAAATGAGATAACAAATTATGGTTATAGAATGAGTTACTGTAAATTTAATTTTCAACTAGTTCAAGTCATTAGTTGATGATTGTGTGAGCAGGTGAAGGAATAGCTGTTCCATCCGGCACCATTTGGGTCGAACCCCAGAAGTCTATTCTGCATTTAATGAGAAAAGATATGGGACTACGGTTGGTGCAATCAAGGCGACGAACTTCAAAGGTACGAGATATTTGATTCAATCAAGTCTAGTATTCTCATTAACTCATGTGTTAAAGTGATAGGTGTTTAGGATGATGATAGGTGTTTAGGATGGTTGGAAATTAGTCTCAGATTAGCTAATTTAACATGAAGCCTTTAGAAGAAACCAAAACTAAAGCCTTTGAAAGCTTAGGCTCAAAATGTACATTATGTTAAGCAATAGGAATTATCAAAAACAAAATAGCCTGTGATAGGAACTTCATTATGATAATATTTTCAACAGAGAAACTTGCAGAATAACAAATTATACGAGCATATGTAACTGATATTCTTCATGTCTTATCAAGATAACAGCAAATAAGAACCAAAAACGAAAAGCAAATCTTAATTGACGACAATATCATGGCCTAAAAATTCTACAGCAACATGAATTGATTTAGGCCTTCCATAAATCCACCCCACAGAGTCGCCAGAGACTGGCAAATGAAAATCCACATGTTCACGCACTTCATTCATCTTGTTCCGCACCGTCTTCATCTTCGTAGTAATCTTCTTCCTCAGCCGAAGCATCTTGATATTGCTGATACTCAGAAACCAGATCATTCATATTGCTTTCAGCCTCAGTAAACTCCATCTCATCCATACCCTCCCCTGTGTACCAATGCAAGAAAGCCTTCCTCCTAAACATGGCCGTAAACTGCTCACTCACACGGCGGAACATCTCTTGGATTGATGTTGAATTTCCAATGAAAGTAGATGCCATTTTCAATCCGGTTGGAGGAATGTCACAAACTGTAGATTTCACATTGTTGGGGATCCATTCAACAAAGTATGAAGAGTTCTTATTCTGGACATTGATCATCTGTTCATCAACTTCCTTAGTGCTCATCTTGCCTCTGAACATAGCAGATGCAGTAAGATAGCGACCATGTCGGGGATCGGCAGCACACATCATGTTCTTAGCATCCCACATTTGCTGAGTGAGCTCAGGTACTGTAAGAGCCCTGTATTGCTGGGATCCACGGGAAGTGAGGGGAGCAAAACCAACCATGAAAAAGTGGAGACGAGGAAATGGGATAAGATTGACGGCAAGTTTCCTGAGATCTGAGTTAAGCTGTCCGGGAAATCGCAAACAACAGGTCACACCGGACATCGTTGCAGAAATCAGATGGTTAAGATCTCCAACTGACCAAGAACACAAGAAAAACTATTAGATAAGGATGTAAAATTAAGAAGAGAAATTAAAGATCCAAGATCTGTGTGCAGAAACATACAGCTAGGGGTGGAGAGCTTCAGGGTACGGAAGCAGATATCGTAGAGAGCCTCGTTATCGAGTACCATACACTCGTCGGCGTTTTCAACAAGTTGATGAACAGAGAGGGTTGCGTTGTAAGGCTCAACAACAGTATCAGAAACTTTAGGAGATGGGAAAACGGAGAACGTAAGCATCATTCTGTCAGGGTATTCCTCTCTGATCTTGGAAATCAGAAGAGTTCCCATTCCAGATCCAGTCCCTCCTCCCAACGAATGGCAGACCTGGAACCCTACAAAGTTTGATCCAAACCATCTTGAGCAACAAAACGCAAGAAAGAACCCAAAAAGGGAAATCACAAAAGAGTCGGTTGGGGAAAAGTACCTTGCAGACAGTCACAATTCTCAGCCTCTTTACGAACAACATCAAGAACGGAATCAATAAGCTCCGCACCTTCGGTGTAATGTCCTTTAGCCCAGTTGTTTCCCGCACCAGACTGACCGAAAACGAAGTTATCAGGTCTGAAAACCTGACCGTAAGGTCCAGATCTGATACTGTCCATAACACCAGGCTCAAGATCCATAAGCACGGCACGAGGAACGAATCTCCCGCAACTGGCCTCGTTATAGTATACATTAATTCGATCAAGTTGAAGATCGGAATCACCAGTGTACTTACCGATGGAGTCGATGCCGTGCTCAGCACAAACCACTTCCCAGAACTTGGCACCGATCTGGTTGCCACATTGGCCTCCTTGGATGTGAAGAATCTCACGCATTTTTACAAGAAATGGAAACTAAAAAATGACTGAAAACCAGAGAAAAGGGCGAAGAAACCCTAGAGAGAGAGAGATATAGAGAGAGGGAGGGAGGGAGGGAGAGAGAAGGTAAGAGATGGAGTTAAAGGGAAATGTGGGGACGGAGGGCTCTTTATAGAAATAAAAGGAAATAACGGTTAAAATATTATTTAGGGAATTTGAAATAAATGAGCGGGAAAGAAGTTAGGGTTTGCAAAAATGAGTGTAGAAACAGCCACATGCTCCAACGGCGTTTGGTAAATGTAACGCTCCCCCGTTAGTTTCCCTTCAAATTTTGAAAACAAATATATCTGGAAACAGCTGGACGCCACCAATACTAATGTGATCTCTTTATTTTTGTTTTTTTTTTTTTGTAAGATTATAATATAAATTAGGAAATTTGGTTCACAAAAATTGGTAATACTTTAAAGCCGCGCCCCGCTGCCCGTACCCCACACCATTCAATTTTTCTTTTGACGTTTTCTGCTCTTTTCCACTTTGATTTTGAGTTGGAAAATATGTTTGTCTTCATTTTGTACTAATTTAATTACCGTTACGAAAAAGAAAAACCATTATAACAAAATTATTCACTAATACAAACTATTTACAAAGAACTCCGGAATCTCTTTTAGAAAGTCCTTTTTTCTTTTTTTCCCAGTAGATAATTACTCCATAAATCAAATAATTTACTTACCACAATGTAATGTGGAAAATATGAAATTATACTTGAGAAGCATTTGGAAAGATTCGTAGTGCTAAAAAATATCTATATCGGTTGTAGGATAAAAGTGGTTACCATGCGAGTCCAAATTTTTAATCTTATAATAAGATGTATTTCATTTAACTAATTATGTTCTTCCGACAATTCTGAAAAAAATATGTTATTTCGCCATTTAATATAATATAATATATGATACTTAATTATTGATGCATTCCAATTACCACCCGCAAATAACTCGATACAAAAGGTTAATTTTATAGTTACAAATTTGATAATAGTTCAAAAATTAAAGAATAATACCTGAATGCATGAACAATTAACCATACCAATGTAACCGGGCTTCTAAATTATATAAATTCAGTAATTGAGGATTGTAAGATTTACAATTAAAAAGAATTAGTATTCTACATTTGCACTCTCTTCGCTGCCAAAAGATTGATTTCTCCTCTACGTACCCAGAAGAACATAACATTCTCTTCTCCCAGTACAGAAGGTGTTGTAAGCATTTGAAATTACATCCCAATTATTCCGCGAGATGCAAACATTTGAGGTATATCAAGTCCAAAATAGTTTTAAGACTATATGTAGGTGTGTACAAAATTCAAACTACGTTTAGAAAACAAAACCAAAAAAAAAAAAAATTGACTTGTTTTTAGAATTTGAATTTTCAACAACATAGATCATTACGAAAACAAGAACAAAATGGCAGAAAAAGGAAATGAAAAAAGAAACCCGATGACGAGAATGAATCAAGCAGAAACAAAAGGTAATTGTTTAATTCATTAATTTACAAAATGGCATGCAATACTAATCAGTCATTAAAAAAAAAAAAAAAATCAAAACGAACAGCGAACAGCCATAAAAAGGCAAAGCAGCTTCAAGTTACTACCAATTGAGAATGGTGGATATGAAGTAGTAGGTGTTGAAAACAGGAGGAGGAGAAAAAGAAAAGGTTCTGGGGACAAATGACAACAAAACTCATCAACCACCAACCGGCAAAAAGAAAAGGTTCTGGAACGAAACCTATCCACCAACAACCATACAATGAAAACAACGCTGTTGGATCTCAGAAATCAACAATATCATCAACTCCATATAGGAACTTACAGATAGATAACGCAGTTTTTCATTAACATCATGGATCCAAGGGCTGTATTGGTAAACGCATATAATCAATTAACAATTCAAACAAATACCTATATCTCTAAGAAATAAAATATGACTCGGGGGGAAACAATAGAGTAAGAAAACAGATCTCAGAGATTATCCGTTTATCTTCAATTCCTAGCAGGAAATTGCAGATAGATAACGCAGATTTGTAATCGCATCATCGATCTAGATATGCAGCTAGAAAAAAAAAAAAAAAAAAAAAGAAACAATGACCTACAAAATCGTAAACTAACGACCTTCTAAAGAACAAAAGCATCTCAGGAACAATATTCCCCATGGGTTTCTTCATGGTAAATCAAAGTGCAAGGATAACAATAATATTGTTTCATCACCGATGCGGGCAGAAAAATGAGATTGAAGGCAGATGAACAGTAAAATACCAAATAGAAGAAGCAGGAATAACTTATAAGGACCACTGACAGCCTACAATACGAAAAGAATCGTCGACGACGACGAAGTAGCTGTATTGCAGAAAGAAGCGCGACGGTCGGCTGCGAAAAGAAAACAAACCCTAGCACTATTTTCTGAATTGATTTATGAGTGACGATTGATGAAGGAACCATTACATAGGGTGCCACAGGGCTAAGGATGTACTTTCACCCTTACAGATTTTGGGTTTTTTCCCTCTTTTTTCTTTTTTCGCGGAAGATGAATTAGGATTGTTTTATTATTTGTTTTCTGTAAAAATATTTAGGATTGTTTTATTAAGCTTATCTGAAAATAAATCGACTTCATTAATTATTTTGATAGTTCATAAATATTTCGCAGTAAAATAAGTTATAATTTTGGATGGAAATTAAAATTAATGAAAAAAAAAAAAAAAGTTTTAAACAATTGAATTGCTTACAGAGGGAAGCTGGAAGCATCTCCATCAGGCGATCCCACTTGCAGCGAAGCCGTCGTGGACGATTAAAAGCCACAAAACACCTCCGCAAGCTTCCGCCATCTATTCCATGGCTGAACTTTCCAGTTCCATTTCCCAACCCCTTCTCCAAGCAACCCCCCTTCTTCTCAACATATAAATCAGCAACCCCTAAACCTCCTTCACTATCGACATCTAAGTTTCCCAAAGATGGGTTTAATTTTCGGGAAGATCAGTGTCGAAACGCCAAAATATGAGCTGATTCAATCCACTGCGGACTACGAAATTCGCAAATACGAGCCATCGGTGGTGGCTGAAGTCACCTACGACCCGACCCAGTTCAGAGGCAACAGAGACGGTGGTTTCACTGTGTTAGCGAAATACATCGGAGCCATTGGCGAGCCACAGAACATCAAGTCCGAGAAGGTTGCTATGACGGCGCCTGTGATCTCCAAATCGGAGAAGATCTCGATGACAGCTCCGGTGGTGACAGGGGGCGAAGGAGGCGAAGGGAAGCCGGTGACGATGCAGTTTGTGCTACCAAGCAAATACAAGAAGGCCGAGGAGGCTCCTAAACCCGCAGATGGAAGTGTTTCGATAAGGGAAGAAGGGGAGAGGAAAGTGGCAGTCGTGAGATTCAGCGGAATTGCGACAGAGGGGGTGGTAGCGCAGAAGGTGGAGAATCTAAAGAAAAGCTTGGAGAAAGATGGGATTAAGGTGATTGGGGATTTTGTGTTGGCGAGATATAACCCACCTTGGACATTGCCTTCTTTGAGAACCAATGAAGTTATGATACCAGTAGAGTGATTTGATTCCTAATGTTCATACGCATTCTGTGTTTGATATTCATGTATTAGTATATCATGTCTAGTGCTCTGTTTCTTCTGAATAATACTGCCACTCTCATGTAAGATAAACTGTTATTCACTCAATACGATTATGTCATGCTTCAAGATCTATTTCATTTTGTACACTGAATCAACCAGAGAAGAGCTTGATTACGATGATGATGATGTTGAAAAGAATGAGTGGAAGTCTCAAGAATTGGCATGCATGGATGAGCCCTATTACCTGCCCTTTGAGCGTGTTTCGTCTTCCTCTCGACATCTCTGCCAATGTCCATCCTCTCCGAGAAAGAAAACGATCCTCGTTTAGAATTGCGAAGGCATTTGCAAACAACAGAAGCCCTTCCAAGAAGGTCCAGAATCCCATATCTGCATGTGCAAGAAGGAGACAACTTCTCAAATAATGAACTGATCGAGATGGTTTCGAACTTCACAACAGAAAAAGCAAAGTGGGATTCGGATATTGGACAAAATCATGAAGGAAATCTTATGATTTAGGGATGCACATCACGAACTTCGGGACCCAGAAAAAAGAAGGGGAGATAAAGGAGAACTATGAAGTTTCTGTAACGAAACTTGAAGAAATTCACGAAGAGAAATCGAAGAGATTCTCGTTTTCTCACCTTTCTTTTGATGAATCTTGAGCAGCGCGAGAACAGAGATGGAGGATTGATCGAACAACTTGTTGATTCGAGTGGAAGAAAGGAATTGAGGGGGACGACCGCTTTAATCGAGCGGTTGACGGAGATTTTCAGATGATTACAGCCGTCGGATGAACTTCTTGCATTGATAACTTCGCAAGTTCTCTATTGTATCTTGTGAGTAAAAGACAGCCAGCTCGACTTTAACTTTCTTTTGGGTTTTTGGGTTTATCTCCTAGTTTTGTTGCCAAATATGGATAATCCCTAAAATGGAAGCACCCATGGCTCATTTCAGTTCCTTCCTGCAGCCGTGTCTACTTCTACTCTTCAAAAGAAAACTAAGCGTTCTAAGAACCCCCAAATCACAGATGAAACCACAGAAGGGAACCCATTTGCTCAGGTGTCCGAAGACGAGTCAATCGATTCAATAGCTGAAAATTACGACGATGGAATGGATTTCTCATACGAAGATCCTCCACTAATCTGCTGCTTTGGCGCCGCATAGAAAGAAATTGTGCCCTCAATTCGTGTACACGATAATCAGATGCATCATGATAAGTACTCGGAGTGGAAAATGCTCCAATGGGATCCGCCGGAGTTCGCAAGGGCACCGGTGGGATCGTCCTCCAATGTCGCTATATCTCACGTTAGGCTCGGCGGACGAGCTGCGTTCATGGGGGAAGTTGGGAAGGACGATTTTTGGGACGAGATCGTGTTGATGATGAACAAAGAGAAAGTACAGACTCGAGCTGTGAAGTTAGATTTAAATTCTAGAACGGCCTGTACGTACATGAAGATCAAGTTTGAAGGCGGAAAGTTGACGATGGAAACGGTGAAAGAAGCAGGCGAGGATTCTCTGATTAGCTCTGAACTCAACCTCGCGGTGCTCAAAGAGGTATATTAGCCATTCACTCAAACGGGGTGTTGTTTAGAGACTTGTTGAGAAGAGAAATTGTGCTTGTTTCATTGCAGGCAAGGATATTCCATTTCAGTTCACAAGCTTTGATGTCCACTGCAATGGAATCAACGCTCTTCAAGGCTCCAGTTGTCCAAGAAGTTTGGTGGACTCATCTTCTTCGATTTAAATTTGCCATTGCCTTTGTGGAGACCACAGGACAAAACTCGAGAATATGTCAAGAAAGCCTGGAATGAAGCTACATTATTGAGGTTTCAAGGCAAGAACTAGAGTTTCTGCTACATGAAGAATACTACAAAAACAAAAGGAACTACAGACCTCAATACTATGCTCAAACTATTGAACAGACCAAGAATCGGCGAGACTATTACCATTACACAGCAGAGGAGATATCGCCCTTATGGCACCATCGCCTCAAGTTATTGTTCGTGACAGACGGAATGATGCGGATTCATTACTATACTCCTTGGGTGATCTGTACAGAAGATGTGCTCATCACACCATTCACCTGCGACAGGAGGGGTTCTGGTGATGCTGTTGTAGCTGCTGGGATCATGAGAAAGCTAACTACTTTCCCGGAGATGTTCGAAAGCCAAGAGCAACACAGAATCTGAAAGAGCAGGTCTATGTACCATCAATGTGGTAGGTTTAAATATCCCTTTTGAGTTCGCATTGTTCTAATTTGAGCTTTAGAACAATGGATTCATCTCTGATGTCTATCTCTTTTCCTCTTACTCAAAAGTCAGCCAGTGGAGTGAAGAAGAAGAAGAAGAAGGGAGAGAGAAGCATGGAAGAAATGGCAATTTACCTTTTCTTTTCAAAATTTTTACTTTATGAATCAATGGGAAGAAGATGAGATGGATAATGATGCAAAGAATGACGAAGGGAATGAATAACTTTTGTCTGTGTAAAAACTAACCTGATTTACTAATAAAAAGGAAAAACTACATCTGAACTGACTCCCTACCTCACCTACCAGTTATCATAATCCTATTCACTAACAATTTACCTAAAAAAGAAGGAAAGAAACAACTCCTAGCAAACCCTCCGAGTATTATCCTCCATCTGGGTCATATGATTCAACTTCTTATGGCTTGGAAAATGGAAGTCAAGTTTGAGGAACGCAGAAGAGCGAGGTCCCTAGAGCAATGGTGCACATATTACGAATTTAGCGGAAGAAGCAACGAGCACGCAGTGAAATCATAAAACCTATCTCTGCAGTGAAGCTTTATGATTTCGTTTCTCATCAGTTTTTGGTCTCAATGTTTGATTCTGAGACTTCATGCAAAGACAGCCGGGATAGGGATTAGCATAAAAATTCTCCTCTAGCCTCGGACTCTCTCCGGCTTGTCTAACATATGGGGAACCCAGTCTGTCTTTTTGCAATTCCTTCACTTCTTTGGAGAATTCTTCCCACGAGATGGCCTCCTCCTCCAACTGGTCGATCAACCTCACTAGATTTTGCCTGAAAAAAATGAAATGATATTGAGGCGCCCGGTAGTGTCAAACCAACACACCAACATAGAGCATTATTAGTCTCCAACAAACCTGTCAGGATTTATAGTCTTTCTGAATCCTCCAAACCTCCTGTGCCCCTGCACTGCTTTAGCCATGTTTCCATCATAGGTATAAACAAACACATCACTCTCTACTGCCACGATATAATCCAAGGCTGCCATGCGATTCTGGTACGGCTTAAATGGCTCCAATTCCTCCTTCGTTGCAAGAGTTGAATGAGAAAACACATTGGGGTATTTGGATCGAAAGGCCTCCATGCTATCTCTCCCAAAAATCTCCCCCGCAACAATGTAGATTTTTGTCGTGGAAGGGTAATCCAAGGCTTTAAGCAACAGGGCTGCCTCCATAGGTGTCATTGGGCAGCCTCCTACAAGTCGCTTTTCTTTTGCATCTATCTCTTTCTCCTTCCAATGCTTCACATTGTATCTCATAACTTTGAGCTCCTCATTTTCCTTCGCCGTCAGGTTGTGGCTGCACCCTGTGAATGCAAGCATGTCTTTCTCATACCTGAAATTCAACATTTACATACTTTGGTTACTCTCTATGCTATCAAATAACACCCCAACCCAAGTGCTTCAACAGCTGAGACTACCTCAGATGGAGGGCAATATATGGTTCGTCATCCTTTCTTAATCTATCAACTAAAACCTTCCCAAGATCCTCAATCTTCTTCGTGAACCGTAGAGCATCGTAATTGGCTCGGCATCGAAGCTTCTGAACGTACGATGGCAAACCATTATTAGAGATACGAGAATCAGTGTGGGTGAGCATCAACACTTTGTGTCGCTTTAACAAACGTAGCATCTCTCCTCGGTAATAGCTAGCCTGCACATTTAAATAGATTGTGAGAAATAGCATCAAAGAATTACGATTGACATCTAAAATTGATGTTTTCTTAGACCTTGGACCAGGAAACTGGAGCCTTGACATAAGGTTTCACCGCTGCCAAACGTCGAGGCAGGGTCTCAACGATTTCGATATCATCTCTTAGAACATCAATGAAGTGCCTCCAGTCAAAAATATCTTTGAAATCACTGCAAAAACCAAAGTTCATCATAAATTATATGCAAAACAATCAGCAAGCAAAGACTTGGGAGTATGCATAAAGGGAGAAACGCAAGTACCTTGGATCTGTCCAAAAGGACTGGTGATCAAGCGAAGGAAGAACAAGGGTGGCATTCATAATCTTAGCAACAGCAACCATATCACATATCTGGAAGCAAGTTAAGGCATATCTTAGTTAGAAAGATCATGGGTATGATTTAGCTGACTATTTTAGCTCTTGAAAAACTAGCGAAAACATCTCACCCCTGTTCTCATCTGATTCAATCCTCCATTGGCATGTACAAGAAGATATCCATTTGTTTTACCCCGACGTCCTACCGAATCAAGTTTAGAAATGAGAAACAAATTCAATGGGTTCTAAAATCCTTGCCTTACAGATTAAGGGAACTATTACACATACTTATTCGATTCCTGGGTCGAGTAATGCACTGATAGAAATTGTCGCTCTTTGGCTTCATCCAAATTTCAGGCGTCTGCTAAACATGATATAAAATAAACACAATGCAATCAGCTGTGAATCTCGTAAACTCCAACGAACATTCTAATGCACAAACAGACAAATTTTGAATATAATTAATTGCATTCATTGAATTGAGTGGTTCAAAGTAGAAGAAAACGAAATGGGTTGGCAGCCAAAGCGACAAACATAACGGCGAATTGAAAGAAAAAGAAAGCAAAATTCTGGTTACAAAAAGTTAGTAGTCGCAACCCTTGATGAGGATGCATTTATTGCCAGCCCCCCACTACTATTTATTGGTGTCGATCACCAACATACAATTCCAGAAACAGTTCAGATTGAATGAGATGCAAAATAAAATAAAGAAATAAAAACAATGGGTTTTTTAATTCCAGAAAAGGAAAAGAGAAAGAAAAAACAATTAAATTCAATTCCTGGAGAAAGGCCACACATCACGCCATCTTTCCTTTTGACTGGAGGACTAATGCTATTGGGATGGAATATTTTGCAGAACGAAACAGAGAAGAAAAAGGAATTAAAAAAAAAATTACTCACAGAAATTTTCTCGAGAAGGCGCTTGGGGACGACGGCTTCGTCCTCGGCAACGGCCCTTTGCGCCATGGCCCAATCCTCTTTGAAGGTCTGTATGATGAGTTGTCCTTTATCGATCATCTTGCCATTAATCTCCACATGTGAATTGAGGAAGGAAAACTTGAAGAACACGGTTAGAACAGCCATGAACATCAAAATCAAAAAAATCATACGCCCAAAGTTCCTTCCGGATACTAATGACCGGACGATCATGGGCGTCAATAAAAGGCCTTCTTCCATCTTGAGAAGCCAAGTCTCGGGCACCCAACAGAATGCCCGAGCCCGAAACAAACATTGCCTAATCATGGGATGTTGAACATGATGGTGAAGGTGATGATGGTGGAGGTGGGACCCGACATTGGAGACGTTGGAATTGTCTTCCTCATCATACAATTCTGAAGAGTTGGAGATTCGGGAATCGGGGTCCATAAAGTCTGTTACACGTCGTCTGGTCTTGGCCTGTCCGCCGTGTAGTGGACTCCCATTGCAAGAATTGGCCGGAGCGCCGGAAGACATATGTGAGCGATTCAAATATATTGAAATAGCTGTGTTTCTCTGCGTGCGTGATATGTTGTTGGACCGAGACAGATTGGGAAAGAAACAACAACGAACTAGATGAAAATCCAAAAAACGATTTTCTGAATATGATTTGGAGAAGAAAAGCCAATTTTCAGTGAATATGATTTGGAAAGAGAATAGAAATGATTTGGAAAAAGAATAGCCGTATTGTATGGCCGGCAAAGGGTGAATATAATTTTGGGTGTTTATATATAGCCTCTGAAATCTACTATGCTGATTTTCTCTCAAACTCTCTCCCTCCCACTAAATCCAAATGATTACACTTTGGATTTATAGTCATATTCTACCGTTAAATAAAAAGTTTCCTTTTCCATACTCTCCATTATTAGATGTAATTGTCTTCCTAATAACTATTGTACCATAGTTAAATTATTAAATATCCTCCAATTTTGGTGTTTGTTTTACATCACAACTTTTTCCATTTTTACTACTTACACCTTTATTTTTTTAATAATTTTTTTTAATAAAATGAGTATAACAAACTTATTTATATAATTAGATCTAAATATATATTCATTAATTTTCTGCTATTCTTATCCTTCATCTTACCCATTATAACTTATTAAAAAAACAAAATTTAGATATATAATAAATACAAATTTCAAAATTTCAAGATTTCTTTATATAATTTAATATGGTCTTTTTTTTTAATATATGTAAATTTGAATCTTAAATATTTTAGATTACGATTTATTTATTTATTTATTTAATACAAGTATATAATTTTAGCTATTAGCATCTTTTTAGCAAGTTTAAATTATATATTTTATTGGGCTAAAAATAGTTACAATTTTCGAAAGTAAATTTAGCTGGTTTGTTATATCTAAATCTAAATCGTTTTATTTATTTATTTGTTTTTGGAAAATGGTTATTATGTTATCGGCAACTACTCAAAAAATAAAAAATTATTAAAAAAATATATTCGGTCCTGGTCTGGTCTATTAAATTAAAAAATCCAACATTTTATAAGCCTAATCAGAAATTTCATATTTTTGAGAATTCAAAATAGAAAATGGAATTCATTATCAAATTTGTTAACAAAAAAAATTATACAGGTAAACGAAGATTAATAATAAATTAAGAGAATATTAAAAGGAATGGAAACTAGGATTCTATGTTTACAAACACTTTCCAGTCCATTAATTAATACATATTAATCCCAAAAGCTATATTAATCACGCCTAATCTCTCACTTTTGTGTAAAACTACACTTCTTTTTCTTTTTTTTCTTTTATTTGTGGGAGTGGGCAGCTATTAATTATGTATTTAAATTCTGCGTGTTGGACAGTTACACACAAGAGCAAGAGCAGGTGCATGAAACACGATCTTAACCGACATTCCACATTCATAAAGTTAAAAAGACAGGTGGCGTGATCGCATTAATTGAAGCCGCTTCTGTCCCCACAGTGTTACTCCCAGTACCATGATAGGGTTGATCAATGATGAATATTGATTGACGTTTGTTGTTTGGAAGAAATGAGTACGTGTAGTCAGGATGTAGAGAATGGAAGAAGGTACTAATTGCCTCGTTATATGAGGAATTTTGTAAGCTTGCACGATCTGCCCATTCGTGCTTTAATTTGATTGGTCTCTACTCAGATCCAACAACGTTAATAAATGGAATTCAATTCAAAAACCTAGCTTCAATTTTACACTTTATTATACTTTACATCTAAGTTCCATTAGTTATTTATATTTATGGATTATTTTATGGTTAATCAATGTCTCACGTACCATGTTAATTATTTACCTTTATGAGTGAACATCGAAAAAGCAACTTGAAAAGAAAATCGAAGTTAATATTTAGTGTAATTATTTTTTTTCGATTATAAATGTCTTGTACAATTATGAAATTTGACTCACATTTGTTACGAAATTCATATTAATCTTAACGAGAACGGCCGATATATAAGTAAAGATATGAGATTACGATATGGAAGCCTAAAATAATATTGGAAAGAAAATAGAAATTAAAAATAAGTAGGATAATTCAAAGATTTTGACTATTGGAGTTTGGTAGGCAACCAGAAGCTTACCTGGGCCCTCCCCTCCCGTAAATAATTGAATTATTATGGAATTGAATTGAAGTTAAAAATCCATTTAGTTCGAGCAGTTTGGTACTTTTTCACCAACATATCATTCTAAATATCTTTTTTCTTCTCTCTTAAAAACCAAATGTTTCAGTGACAAATGTAATCCCAACAAAATGTTTCCTTAGTCTAGTGATAAATGTAATCCCATTATCTATACAACATTACTCATGCCTCAAAGTTTCATTTTTATTTTTATTTATTTTTATTAGGATATTCACACTTTAAAATCATCAGTCACCTAGTTTATTTATTATTATTGTACGTCAAAAAAACATTCAAATTTTAAAATTATTAAATAAAAAATATAAATTTTAAATATCCAGAGGTAATTATTAAATAAATTTTAAATTTTAAATTTTTTTATATAATTTAGCTATTCAATAATAAAATTTAAATTAGTAGTGAAATTAGAAGTACTTCTATCTGATACTTTTGAAAGACTAGCTATGATTTTGGTCAAATGCTTCATCAAATTATCTTTAGTTGTTAGTTTGAATCCGACGGGTAGGATTTTTTGTTTCGTTTTGTTCTCGTTTTGCAGCCCACAGGCTCAACAAACTTTCGGCAAGTCATATTAGTCTTTAAACTGTAGTGGGTCAAATATCTATCCGATCATCTTTAGGTTGTTGGTTCGAATCTGACAAGTTGGATGGTTTTAGCATTATTCTTTGTTTCGTTTTGTTATCGGCCCAACAGACTTACTGTGTGTCAAGTCATATTAATGTTTAGTAACGCCACAAAGAAATAATTATATTTTGTTATCAATCTGACCTTACCTCGGTTGGTAAAGCGAAGGACTGTAGTGGGTCAAATTCTGGTTAGATAATCTTTAGGTCGCCGGTTTGAATCCGGCAAGATGGGTGCTTTTGGCATCATTCTTTGTTTCATTTTGTTTTTGTTATTCGGCCCAACAAACTTACGGTGTACTAATGTTTAGTTTCGGGGAGAAATAAATAATGATTACATCTTGTTGATCAATCCGACCTTAGCTTGGTTGGTAGAGCGGAGGATTGTAGTAGATTACATTTTGTTGATCAATCCGACCTTAACTCAGTTGGTAGAGCGGAGGACTGTATATTTTGTTCATCAATCCGACCAAGCTCAATTGGGAGAGCAAGTAAAATACCTATGGCAGATGACCTTAGTGGGTAAAGCGGAGGGAAAGAAATAATATATTTTGTTCATGCGACCTTTAGCTTAGCTTGGCTCTAGTAGGTAAAATACCTTGGGGCAGATCCGATCTTTTATTCGGCCCAAAGGCCCAACAAACTTAACGAGCGGCATGTCGTATTATAGTTTATTAACGCCAGAAAGTTGAACGACGTGTCGTATTACCGCCTACACGTCCTGTTTGTTCACTGATATATCGGAATCGGAGAATCCCTTGTTCTATTTGGGAGAAAATAAGCGGAAGGCGAACGGGGAGACTGTGCGGAGGAAGCGAATCAGATAGCTCCTGCTTCGCCAGTAAGCTTCTTTCTGTAATGCTGAATTTCTATGGCTTCCAGTGTACAAATGCCCCAATCAATTAGGGTTTCCATCTTAAATTATTTCTCCCCAGACTGGCATGTTCCTGTAGTTCGTTGAATTGCTTCTTTTACGTCTTTCGTTTCTTTCCAAGTTTATCTGTTGCTGCAAACTCTCGTTACGCCTTGCTTTTTTAGATTGGGTTTCTGGAGAGGGAGGCAACTAGTTTCATTCTTGTTTGGGGAAAGAGGTGGAGAAGATAGAAATATGCTTCAGATCCGGCTTAGCAAAGTTCCACAGGCTGAAGGTGGTGCTGGGGCAGTGAAGCCCTCGCCGGCGGAGTCTGTGACGGTCGCATGCCCTGACCACCTCGTTCTTGCTGATCTCCCTGTAGCAAAAGGCATTGGTGCGGCTACCGCTGCTTCCATTGTCAAGTCTGTGGGTCGCAGGTCTCGCCGTCAGCTTGGAGAACGAGTTCATTTTTGTGTCAGATGCGACTTTCCTATTGCAATTTATGGTCGCCTGGTATTTTTCTCCACTAACTTCTTGTTATTTTTGCTAGTTGATTTGCCTACTTTCGGTCCATGGAAATCATTTTCATATATAAAAGATGGTTTTCAATCTGATATATCTTTTTTCGCCAAAGCGGTTTGCATCACTTTTATCATCTATGGATACTGGTTTCTGCCAATTTGTACAAATATAATGTTGGGGCTAGGACAATACGATGTGATTATTTTATTCATATCTGCAATGTCCTTGCCTCTGGAATGGAGGCCTCTGATATGCTTCTTATGAGCTAATCAGTGGTTTGCCTTTCTTGCAGAGTCCCTGTGAGCATGCCTTCTGTCTTGATTGTGCAAGAAGCGATTCTTTGTGCTACCTGTAAGTAAAAAGGCTTTCAAGTTCTTAACGAGACCATTAAAGGTTCTTTTGTGTTCAGAATGTCACAACTGATTGCCTATATTTAGTTCATTTTCCCTTTTCTATTGCAAAAACTCGCTATCATGTTCTTCAAATATTAGTTGTTTTCTTTGCTTATTAGTTTGTATACTGCACACAGTTTTCTAATGACAGCAGGATTCAGCTTTTCCTTTTATTTCTTACTAAGAGAGTTCATGGAGCAGGAATTTACAGCACCAGAATTGAAGATATGATCAGCGTGTATGAATTTGAATCACAAGAAAGAACTAATATTTTTGGAATTTTTTTAAAAGACGTACTTGTTTCAGTTTGAATTGAAATTTTGATCAACATAGAATCCTATAATATATTCAATCATCCATTATGGCATTTGAATGATGAAAATAAAGATGCTGTGACAGATCAGCTATAGTTACATTGTACATAATGAACTCTCATTTGATTTTAATATTTGGAGGGTTTTTGTGTACTTTATGATAATGTTATGAAGATGACTTTAGAAATTATGATACACTCATGATTTTTGTGACACAGTTGTGATGACCGCATCCAGAAGATTCAAACTATAAAAATGATGGAGGGGATCTTCATTTGTGCTGCCCCACACTGTCTCAAGTCTTTTCTAAAGAGGACTGATTTTGAATCTCATATACACGAGAGCCATGCTGACCTTCTTAAGCCAAATGCAGAGAAGGAAGATGGAAATGAAATTGAGGCCCATAGTGCTAAACAATCTACAGCTTCTGAGACGTCAGTCCGATGTCCATTGAGACCACTCATATCTCCAGGTTCCAATTCCCAGCCACAAGAACGTGAGGAAAAATTTCATCGACAACAATCTAGAGACCAACCTAGATCTGGCATGCAGCAAAAGCAAGCGCCAATTTTGGGTCAGAACCAAATTAATACATCTGAGTCTCAACAAGACAGCGGCCATTCACAAGGCTTCGATAGACATGGTCCTCATGGCCGTTTTCCCCCTCAAAACTTTGACGCACAGGGTGCTCCACATCAGGAGTCCAGTCAGTTTTCAGAGAAACAGCAAGGAATTCTATCCGACACTCCATATTCTCAGTATCCTCCTTTGCAACCAATTCCGCCACCAAATTATGTGGTTCCACCTAACTCTAATCCAATGTTGACCCCCCCTCTACCATTTGGTTATCCTCCTTTTCCAGTTGAGGGAGCTCAACAATATTACAGTACACCCTATGAAGTGCCACGGCAGGACACTGCAGCAGCAGAGACTGGATCCGAGCAAGGGTCACTGCTAGGCTTTCCACCAGGTGCAGCAGGAGGAATGAATTTCTCAGCAACTTATCCGCACCCTTGGAATGCTGGACAAGCCGGTATTCCTTATGATCATGCTGCTGGAGGTCAAGGAATGCCTGATGCTTTTGCTAATACGCCTGATTCTCAAGGAAAACATGGATTTTATCCAGGAGATTATAGACGCAGCCCTGGAGGCATGCCCGTGAATTCTACTGTCTCGTCTATGGCCAACAAAGGGATGGATCAGGGGCATGCATCAGGTAGTACGATGGACTTAAGGGATGGTAAAGGTATATTGGCACCACAGCCTCTAATACAATTGCCCCCACCCCCACGACCCCCACCGTTCTTGTCGCATAACAAGCGGGGTAAGTTTTATCCAGGAGATACGGATCATGATGGGCAAAACCTTGGATGGCAGAATGACAACCATAGCCGAGATAGCTTTGGAAGTGGCCAAGACTGATGATTTTTCCATGGCTCGTTCTTTGTTTCCTTGGCTGTATACTTCCAGCCATTGTTTTGATCAAATTTGCATCAGCGTTAGAATGTCTGTATATTTGAACTTGATGCTTAATGGGAAAGTTTTTCCCTTGGAGAACTTTTTGAGTATAAATAGTCATTTGAGATGTTGAGATCAATGTCATATGATGCAATAGTGACAGTAGATGAGAGTATCATCATTGAAGAAGTTTTGAGAAGTTGTTACTAAAAGCATCCTATTGTTTATCAATTCTGATAATTAAAGGACATTGCTTGATGAAGAAGATTTATAAGAAAATGTTGCAATCTTTATTTGACATTAAAAGGCTTGAAATACCAATTACAGCAGCAGCAGCTGCAGCTGCTTAGGCTGCATATGTAAATACATTATCAACTTGCCTGTAAAACCCCAATCACCCAAATGGGGGAAGATAAATTCATAATATGCCGATTCTAAATACATCTTTTTAACAGGAATTAGAGAAAATGGAAACCAAAGTTATGAACAAAATACAATCATCTCTCAGGCTTCTGTCACTGATGAGGGGTTCTAGCCATTAGCCAAGGTGGGTTGAAAGAACACCATGAAACATCCAAAATGAAATAAGAAAGCCATGAAGAAGGGAGACTGCTGATCAGCTCAGCTTTTCTTTCTCCAAAATCCATTGTTGGTATGTCAGAACTCGCTTCTCATCCAATTTCACATAAAACTGATGCAATTTTCTGTACATCAATACGACCTGCCTATCTACGTAATCTTCATACTTCTCATACAATGCGGGGATTGTCAGCACGAGTAAAAGGCCTGTCATTGAGAGCAAAAAATGGCCATTAAATCTATCAATCTACACACAGAATTACGGAAACTGAAGACTGAAACTTACTGGTGTAACATAAAGTGATAAGATCAGTCAAGCCACTGATAACTGAAATCACCCACAGGCAAGCAGCTACTTTGAAGAACAATCTGGGGTTTTTTCCCATGGCTATATCTTGTGAAACAGACAGAAAATCATTCACATGGGAGCGAATGAAAGATGCAGCTTCGTTCACCATATCTTCTGAGAGATGCAACTCAGGAAGAGGCGGCGCGGGTCTGTTCAGAAAGGTAGCAGATTCAGAAGCAACCTTAATCGAGGTACTTGGAAGATTTGATTAGCCTGGAAACAAGGAATCCACAGATTTGGCCCAGAATAGTTAAGAGGCAATCTCCGAATAGTTTACCTGTTGAGAATGGATGCAGATTTGGCCCAGAGAAAGATAATGGTAACAAGAAGAAGTAGAACACTGGAAATTAAAGACAAAAGGGTGTAACCACATCTCTCAAACACCACCCAAGTCGCCACCGTAATTGACAGAATCCACAGAGTTAGATCCTTCCGCCTCCAAAGAATTACATCTGCCACTGAACAGATTAAAAACACCAAGAGTTAAACCCATTCATTGTTATGTTTATTGGATCGCAAACGCAATCTTAATTAGCTTTGAGGAGTAATCATCCTACAACTCTATCAGCTGCAGTGACAAGCAGAATCCACAGAAATTTTTCAGCAATTCAAGAATACATTGCACTAGCGATGCAGAAAAGAAGAGAACAGTTCATCGATGAAAATTTTCGGAAACAAACAATCAATGCTTCGAAATTCGACATCTCACTCAAAAGAAGACCGATACAGAGTAATCGGATAGGAATTCAAAGAGGATCCATGAAAATAAAACAACCCAGAAATCAGAAAATCTAGTCGTACCAATACCGCCGCCAACAATTTCGTGAAGAGTTCGCTGCCTACAAAACAAACGATCGGAGGAACCCATCAAAAGAACAGAAACGAAAGGATGTTGATCCCAGTTGAGCTTTGAAAATACCCTAAAGAAACAGTGAGGTCGGAAGCAGGAGCCAGTAGAAAAGGAAAAACAGGAGTTCTGTATAGCTTTTTTGTTGTCTACTCTCTGTTACCTCTTTGAGTTTTCTGAGAGTCGTGAGGGCAGACTAGTTGAAATGGAAAGAAATGGGAATTGGGCCAACTGACAGGTCAAAAGCGTCATGCCCCTCGTGGCCTTTTATTCTCCTTCTCCATCATTCATCTGCCCACCGGAAATGGTATGAAAACTTATGTCCTTTTTACTGCTTACAAAGACAGAGGAAGACGATAATACTCTTTGTATTGACCTCTGATAAAACAATGTTGAGATTGAGCTTGCAAGGCTTTTTTTTTTTTTTTTTTTTTTTTTTTTTAACT